TCATCCATTTTTGTTGTCATTTTCACAAGCGTACAAAGCATACTCTTTTCTGCCCCCCCCAAGAGTACAAGATAAACTGATTTCTCTTTGGTGCCTCAGGACCCATTCTAACTCACAATGTAAGGCTGTTAATGTGCAATAGACGACCAGAGAATAGTGGAAGGAGGAAAAGGACAGGACCGGCCTCAACATTCGTAGTTTTCTGATTGCCCGGGACAAATTTCTTCTTTCATTACGGATGCATAAAAATTAAAGACAAATTGGCTGATGGACAGGTACTTTTTCTGAAAATAAAAGTGTCTATTTTTTGTGGCCTAGAATAGCAGTCGACAAATGTATCTTTCATTTGACTTTTTTTCCTGTTCACAAAAGCTTATAAAAAGTATACAGCTATGTGGTTACAAACTTGCGTGTATTAAGCACGCTGTGCATTTTAGCAAGGCACCTTTCCACACACGGGAATATGCATACATAAATAAACTGTAAAATACACTTTGTGTCTGGGTACTGAACCTCAATGCACGCATGACGCAGCTGGTGGTGGAAGCTCAAAGACTGTTTCACATGTCGCTGTGATTTCAACATTAGTGAATTTAGCCGGTACCTTTGTGTACTTTTTTCATATAATGACACCAGGCAAAATCGTCGAGTGGTTAAGAAATACAAGTTACCCGCGTTTGTATGAATGATACATCAGAGTCCTGCGCACTCTCTGCACACGTGAAATAGTGGGGGGGGATTGATAGTTTGCCGGTCTATGATAATCATCATTTTTAACAGGTTCTTAAAGCATACACAACCAATTCACCCCCTCCTCCCAGCATATGATTTGTACGCCCATGAAAATGACAAAATGGATGACCCCTAAGGCAAGACGGCAATGGCAAATGACATATATGACTAGCTCTAGGCCGTTCAAAACACAGAATCTGTGGGGGAAGTGCTACAAAATGAATAATATTTGTAAACTAGCAAGTCATGCTCACCTGTGTGGATATTCCTTAAGGTTGAGTGAGAATAGCTTCTGCAGGACCGATTCCAGACATCCAGTCATCATTTTCTTTCCATAGGTCACTCAGAATCCTTGAGGTCTCTTCCACACAATTATCCGTTCATTTTCTCCAAGAGAGCTACCGGTCTCCTTTCCAACATGGCAGCTTGTATCATGTCCAGGAACTTCCTTTTTTTAAATTCTCAAAGTCAAAGTCAAGATTCAGCGTCCACAGCGGCAGAGGTTGATGTTGATTTCCCTCATTTGTTGAAGATTATACCTTTCTTTATTCAGGGAACCTACAGAGTTCTTGTTGGGGTCCAAAGTTGGACTTTAAAAAACTGCCCATGGAAATTGCCAATTTGGGGGCATTTTCAATTACTTTCAAATTTTTCACAAATCTTTTATTTCTCATAAGTTAAAGAAATACCATGTTGATTTTTTAATACAAAAGAAGCTCGTGTGCAATGAAGTACACAACCAGACAGTAATTTTTTCAGTCTTTTTCAGCATTTCGACAGATCACATTCCTCACTTTAATCAGGAAATTGGTAATTGGTTAAGCAATGGGTTATGGTTTATGGTTACAGGTTATTTGTTAATGGTAGGGGGTTAAATAAAGTAAAGGTTTATGGTAGCATCATGAAGGTACATGCATGTCTCGTTTGTATGTATGGTTCTGAAAAGAACCTGGTGGACGGTTAGTTGAGGTTTGTATGTCAAATGATTAGTAGTTAAGGCTGGGGGTTAGTTGAGGTTCGCATGCATTGTTTAAATGGCTGTGAGGAAATGATCTGGAAATACTAGCTCGGTATAGGCTAGATTGATGCACAATGACTAAATACAATATAGGGACGCAAAATTACTTTGTTTTTTAGAAATAGCACATCTGTTATGTTCAATTTGTTCTACACAGCAGGCTAACCCTGGATAACCTGAAGGCAAGGCAAGTCCATTCATACTTGATCTTATTTGACTCTAGGGTCCACTGTTTCACTTCCAGTTCAAATGGTTGAATCATGTCGTATTAGGTTTGAGTAAGCAGGCATCTTCATTGCTACTGTCCTCCTGCAAGCTGTAAGATAGAGCGAGTGTTGGTTCTGGCCTTCCTTGCTGATTCAAATCAAGGTGTGCAGAGATCATCTGTAAAAAAAAAAAAAAAAAAACCCAAAAAACATGAAATAAAACTTTGTTTTCCCAAGTCTGGGCAGCTCTAATAAAAGACCCTGGGACAGGATTTGACACGTCGTCCCATTTTTATCTTACATTTCACTGCTTCATAGCTTTCCAGACCTTTTGAGAGGCTCAGCAAAATTTGACTGCAATCCTTCCCTTTTGGACACATTCAACTGCCAAAAATGTTAACATTTCAAATTTTCTTCCAAAGTCCTCAAACAAGTGGCTCTCCAACCCTTTGTGTACAAAGAAGACTTACTGAGGAAGAAAACTGGGTTGGGAAGTGTATATCTGACCTTGGAGCGACTATGCTTTTCCTTTTGCATACAACAACAGTACGCCTGATGACTTACAAATTTCCCTGTATGAAATTCATATCTGGTTTCATGTATACATTTTGCAAGATAGGCTATGTATACCTCAATATCATGAGCCACAAAATGTGCTTTTTTGAAAAAGATTCCCTATAGGCCTATGGATGTCACTTGACACCCTGTGCACAAATGTTATGAGACTGGTCTGAAAATTCGTCTTTTCTGTGTAAACAATTGTCTTTTTCCCTCCTAAATTGAACTTTTCTGGATATGTTTATGCTTTCTGACTATAACCAGAGGTCACTATAGGAATAATTACTGGCGTCTTTACAAAGAGCTCGTCCCAAAATTTAGTCATTATCTTCCAAAATTACCTTTGCTTCCTTCAGAAGTCTTGATTTTAAAGAGGGTTAAAGAGCCAATTTGCGGAGGACTTTGAGAGAAAACTTGAAAATTCAAGAGTTTCATATTCAGACGTCACTTGACACCCTGTCGCAAAACCTCATGAGACTAGTTTGGAAAATTAAGCGTTTCCAATTAAGATGCTTCACTATTTTCACAGCTAATCGTGGCTTTTTAAAGAAATGATGATGATACCATTTTCTACATGGCTAATAATCTACTGCAAGGGACGATTAGTGATGTCCATACAAGGAACTCTCACCCTGCCCACCAAACCTTGCCTATGAAACGAAATGAAACGAAGTGAACGAGTCACAGTCAAAATAATTTCGTGCGCTAAAATAAATTGGTGTTTGGAACCATAATTATTTCATTTCACTCTTTACAACAGTAAACTATGCCAATTACACCTATGGTGTCAAAACTGCTCCGTTCCGCTCAAAAACAGAACACTTACTTTGAAAGTCCAGATGTCGCGGGGAAAAGCTCCTTCCTTAATGCCCGCGAACTTCTGAATGCGCGCGTCACCGCACGTGTTGATTTCATTGTAATGCCTTACACTGGTTCCCGTTCCTGCATTCACTTGATTTTGAATTCATTGCGGCGGAAACCAATCATTGCGCAGGTGAAATATTCGATGGACTTCGTTATCCTTAGTGGAATAAAGGTTTCAATAGGCTAGTACTTAATTAATTAATTTATTTATTCATTCTTAATTTCTTGGATTATAATCCAAACGTCTGAATGATAAATTTTATAAAGAGAAAATACAACAGAAATCTAAATTTTACACAGGTAAGATTTACATCTGAATTATGAACAGCGCCCCCTAAGTGTAGTTACCGATGTTATCACAGAAAGGACAGTATCTTTCATTACATTGTATAAAAGTTGCAAGCAATGGTTTGTTAAGCCTGGGCACCGGACATGAGATATCCCGGATAACAGTTTACGGCTGATTTTTAAGGGTTACTTTTTCTATTTTATCCCATCCTCCAACCCTGGCAACCTTCATGCGTGTTTGTCAATTTAATTTTGAAATCATCATGTGACTCACATATAATGAACAAGAGGAAAATAATTGTGTGCAATCGACAAAAAGATGCGTGGGACGGTAAACATAATTCTCCACTTTCTGAAAAGTTAGTAAATTGTTTTTTAATCATCTCCAAAGTTTTGATATTGAAAACAAAACCTTGCATTTTCAAGTTATATTTCTGCTTTTTTGACACTCAGTATGTGGAACTACACCAGATGCAAGAAACTCTACGTTCTGATCTTCCGAGTCCGCAGTTTTGGTTTTTGTCAAAATGTAACGACTGATTGCATGCTGCTGATGTAATGTTGAAGGAAAAGAAATATGAGTTTTGGGTTCAACGTTAAAAGCTCTTTCCACTTTGAGTAGACCATCACTTTTGCAGTTTCAAAGTGTTCGTAGTGGATTTAGGCAGAAAACAACATTGACAATTAAATATGTAATAGTATTCTGTATAAAGAAAAAATAATCTGATGTTATACTGCCGAAATTGTGCACACGCAGATTTCTACAAGGTGTTAATATTAATCAAACTGGACATTAAAAGCAACAAGTATATCGCAAGTTTCGTCCATCATTTACGTCACTGGATATGTTACATTATTTTTACTTTTAATTTCACGGTGCTTCACAGCATGGGAAAGTAGGAAAAAGGTTGGGACCGTAAAAGTGAGAGTGAGAATTTCTGGCCAGCTCATTAGTGTTAAAAGTGCCCCCCCACAGTATCTTTTTGAAAAAGGAGATTGTTTTGCCCCTAAACAGTGAGGGACCAGACAACAATTTAATTTGTGGTTCAGAAATCTCAGGGATGTTGGCGTGCATGTTATTGGGCCCCGAAGAGTGCCGATTTTACTCTGTTTTCAATAGGGCTTGAATTAGTGGACTGGACCCTACAAAATTTACACGTACAGTATTGGTTGGCAAGAAAAGGGCAACTTGAAGTGACTGAGGGCGGCAAACATTCGTAACAAGCGTAGCGCACGTACACGTACACGCGCGGTACGCGTTTCCTGTGTGGACGTCCGACGAGGCCGAGGGCATAGCACGTGTCATGTGTATGTTCGTGGATGGAAAGGTAATTTTACCTGCCTACGTTTCTACATGTTTTTTTCTAGCCTGCTTGGAGTGCTCCGAAAACTGAAATACTTTATAAACATGTCACAGTTACTACACTGCTGTGACATGCTTTCTTAAGTATCTCTGATGCATATTGGGTAGGAATTGCTTAATTAATATCCATTTTTTTCAATGCCGTGGCCCGACGACCCGGCCCATGACGTGTTGACGTGACGTGACGGACACAACTGGCATAATTGGTTTGTTCTGAAACAAAAGTGAGACCTCCTGGACCCACGAACCCCTCGACTGTGAATTTCACTTGTGGCCATGAGCCATGTTACCCCCAGAACTGTGGGGTCCGACGTCCGCTTCGCTCCCACGAACCCCACAAAAAGAGCGTTTTTCGCCATAGGCTGTGCATGACGTTTAACAGGGCACGTACGTGTACACGGATTCCTTTCTAGTTGTGTAAGCCTACCCATAGAAATGTTGCTTCATTTCCCCCGAGAGTTTTATGTTAGATAGCTTACTTACAGTACCTTTATTTTTAATACCAAGAAAGAAATGGGCCAAAAACACTGCCGTTTTCCAAAAAAGGTGCAAATATTTCCTGATCAGTGTCTGAGAGTCATGCTGTTCACATGTGTACTTGCGAAGACGAGTCGCGACCAAAGGGTTGACTACGGCTGTGATCGATACACAAGACATGGAAATTGGCTGCAGCCGCTTTCCATATGTGTGTGTGTGATTCTTAGCCACGCTGGTTGAAATGGCAGTTGGCTGCAGCACGTTGAATGAATTCAGTCACCCGTTAATCTGTGTTTTGAGGGATTTAAATGTAATTCGAGGGGATCAGGGGGTCATTGGGGCCGAGGGGGGGTTAGAACAACCCGCACAAGTACAGTATGGTGGAGTAGGTCTACCCTTAATTCGTGCATACAAATATTCGTGCATCCAACTTTCTTGTCGTGGAACTCAACAAAATTGTGCACCGACTTTAATCTACTGTCGATGATCGATTATTAAGGG